AACAGTCTAACAATGATTTTAAAAGATTTCTTCAAAACATCAGTAAGAAACATAATCAGTACCATAATGCACAGAACTTCTAAATTTAAAATCCACGGTGTTGTTTTATAAACACACTGGTGTTTATTTAAATCTTAAATAAATCTGGTGGTCAGATTTTACTATATCAGTGGAATCATTTGTAATAGAAAACAAACATATGCATAAGTAAACCTAGTGGGACTTGATGAACTAATTTGTAAATAACAGGCCAACATTTGCTTTTAAGATTAAAGGATATTTTTTGCAGTCATAACAATGCCAGACATCATTCTTCGGGAGACCAAAAAGTTGCATATATTGGTTACAAATGTAGTGACACCTGTAGACCAATGGGATAGTTAACACACACTATAAAGAGAAGCGTGAGATGTGGTTTAGCAAGAATTCATAAGGTACGAGGAAATGAAACAAAAGCCTCTATGAGTCAATGTCCTCAAATACAATACAGAGATCCCCACACCTTCATCTCTGGAAAAATGATACGGCAAGTGTGTGCAAAATAAAATGACTTAAGGCATTCTTAACAAAGAAATATGTGCTCACCTCCATAGACCCAGGAAGTGTGGCATCCTTTCATCCTTGTGGGGCTCCAGGGATCTTAGTGCAAAGAGTGGAACCCAAGTCCTGCCTGCGAGTCCTCACCAAGAGACATTGCGCCCTGTGCGCAGTGGGTGGGCTGGTGATCAGAGAACTAAGGATGTGAAGGATCTGACACTTGAGAAGAAAAACTACGATAAACTCAAGACACTGCTGAGCTCCAACCTGCTCACAACAGCTATGATGAGCAGTGGTGGAAATGATGACAGTTCAGGTGACTTGGTCACCAACCCCCGGCAAAAGCCAAGTAGCTGACTGACATGATAATTTGATCTAAAAGCCAATTTGGTAAAAAATGAATGTGCAGAGTTATTGTGTCAACTACAAATAAATTTGGCATGATTCTGTTCCCCTACTGCCCTGTCTCCCCATCCACCTAACTGCACAAGGTAAAATCAGAGTGATTTAGTAAGAAATTAAGAAAACACATTTCCAACAACTGAAGATTCCTTGAAGCAATCTGATTTTGTGCCATTCCTTGGCACAAAAATGAAAATACAACCTGACAAACTTAATATGTTTGAAAAACAAAGAAACATTGCAAAACACGCAAAAGCCAGGCCTTATTTTTTTATAATGCATTACAAAAACCATATCATGCTCACAGAAGAAAATAAAACACAGGCAAGCAAAAAGCAGGAATCAAAATGCAAACTGGGGAGGAAAAATAAGCAAAGTAACCAAAACGTGATTAAACCAAACTTTTGTCATGTAGATTCTTCCTTATGCATACATATTCAGAGAGTATTATATTTTCTATAAACATAGAATATTACATTTTTATATTATAGCTTACATACATAATAAAGTATCAGACTTTATTATGTTCCAAGGGATCTTCCCAACCCAAGGATCAAACCCAGGTCTCCCACATTGTAGGTGGATTTTTTACCAGCTGAGTCACCAGGGGAGCCCAAGAATACTTGAGTGGGTATCCTACACCTTCTCCAGCGGACCACCCCAACCTAGGAATTGAACCGGGGTCTCCTGCATTGCAAGCAGATTCTTTACCAGCTGAGCTACCAGGAAAGCCATTATATTTTATGTAAACATAAAATATTATATTTTTATACTATGGTTTACATACACAATAATGTATCAGACATTTAAGTTATTCCAATTTTGCAATATGATGAATAGTACAGAGCAGACAGATGGGATGAAAGTTACTAAACAAAATAATGCAAAAATGTAGAAAAAATATAAAGTGGACAAAAGAAGTTTTGCAAAACACATGAGAGTTTAACAAAATTGATGACTCAGAAAATGCTAAGGATTGAAGAGCTTTGCTTTTAACCAAATTGTCATTTAAACCTGTCTATCTACTTGCTTTGAACCCAAATATTTTTAATCAATACATGTGCTATGAAGAGTTTGGTGTGTATCAGTATGGGCTTTTCACATAGATTTGTGACATAAATGGTGGTTAAAGATTAGAATAGTGTACTCATCTCCCATAGCTGCTGTAAAAACTTATCACCAACTTGGTAGCTTAAAGCAACAGAATGCTATTCTCTCACATTTATAGAGGCTGGAAGTCTGCCCTCCCCTAGAGGCCCCAGGGGAGAATCCATCCCTTGCCTTTTCTGCCTTCTGCCAGCATCCCTTGGGTTTGCGGCCCCATCACTCCAGTATCACTGTCTCCCTTGAGAAACTTCAGTTCTGCTCTTAACTGATTAGATCCACTTCCCTTCAGATAAGCCAGGATAGACCACATCACAAGATCCTTAATTTAATCACACCTGCAAGACCCTGTTTTCAGATACAATAACAGTTACGTGTTTTAGTTATTAAGATCTGGTATCCTGGTGGGGAACACATTTCTATCTACTATACCTAGTAGTCATAGAAATTCTTCTAAAACTGCCTTGAATTTGACCTACTTTTCCTTATTGGAATTACATTAGTCCCATTTTCTATATCTAGGCTAATTCTGCAAATCATGGGCCTCTTATTTAAATGGCTTTGCTACTGCCCCATTTGAAAATATCATAGGATCACCTCCCCAGCTGAAATAAATCCTTCTTGACTTTACTTCCTGTTCATTGCTTGGTCTTCCTGTGCCCCCATCTGTGAGGTAAGACTTTGAGAGCCATCCTTTTTCATATTGCTCACATCCAATTGACCCCTGGGCATTGTTGATGCTTTTTTAGGTCATTTCAGAGTAGAAGCCCCCTCCCCCTCCCAACTCTGAATGACCCTGCTTCAGTGGGAGGTGGGGCCGTAGGGTTCAGCTGGCATCCTGCCATGCTCTGCCCTCCACCTCAGCCCACTTCCCATTCTCCTTCTGCTGTCGGAGTGACATTCCTAAAATGTCACTGAACACCTTGCTTCCCTCCTTAGGACATTGAATGACCACGACAACTCTCAGATTTAAGTCCAAATAGCACAGACATACAACGTCTTGATTTGGCCTCTACCTACTCCTGCAAAGTGAAAGTGAAAGTCGCTCAGTCGTGTCCAACTCTCTGTGACCCCATAGGCTGTATAGTCCATGGAATTCTCCAGGCCAGAATACTGGAGTGGGTGGCCTTTCCCTTCTCCAGGGGATCTTCCCAACCCAGGGATCGAACCCAGGTCTCCCGCATTGCAGAAGGATTCTTTACCAGCTGAGCTGCAAGGGAAGTCCGCAACCTCATTTATTATTTCTATCCCATCCCTTCCATCTGTTTTAAGCAGTCAATTAACGTCAGTTTTCTCATATTTTGGAACATGTTACAGGTTGCTTCCTTAGGAGGCCAAACAACTAAACAACTCTTATTTATCCTCCAGAATTTGGCCAAGAGAACATCTTGCTTAAGAATGGATCCTTATACTCTTTAAATAGATAAATTTTATACAGTAGTATGTGAATCATATCTCAAAAAATGATTATTAAAAAAGTGTGTCCTTTTCAGTGATGTCCTAAAATTCATTTAGCATCATATACATCTCTGCCAACTTTGCAAGCCTCCTCCATCTCCACTTCGTGTCTCACTCCAGAACATTTTATACAATGTTTTTGTCTATTGGCTCATATGATTTCCTGAGGGGACTACCATGACAAATTCATCTTCATTTTCTCCTCAATTAATATAATGTCTGGCACAAAGCAGACAGTAGATGCTTACTGAATGAATGACTAAAAGATTGTAACTCTTAAACACAGTGATATACGGTTGAAACGAATGCTAATAAATCCAGCAAGTGGTAGAAATGAGTTTGTTACCTGGATTGAAGTTAACTGAGAATCATTTGCCACTCAGAAAGTAAATTACCCTTAGGACTAAAGAACTCTTAGGATTGATCAATACCAGCCTTTAAGTTTCAAAGAAACAGGCCTGTACATGCAATTGTACTTTAGAGCAATATCATCATTTCCCAGTAAAATACAGCCCTTATCCTCAATTTTAATTCCAAGAGTTAGTGTTCACATTTATCAATCTGCTTGCAGGGATGAATCACCATTCTGCTTCTACAAGCTGTGTTTAATTAGCTTTAAAGCATTTATATAAGCACTCTGTCCTTCCTACTTAAGCACCACTAATTTTCTTGGCTACCACATTTATAGAACAAATAAAGTGAACATATTCCTTTTAGTGGGGCCCAAATCTTCATTACAAATACTTAAAACCAGCATCACACACAACAGAAGAGTCTTCATTCCTTTGCATCACAAAATTTGATATAATTTTTTTTCCTGTTTTTCAAAGTTTTTCACACACAAAAAAATATTTGATCTTTGGTAAAGATCAATCTTCCTGGGATATATTTCTAAAAGCCAAAGTTTCAGTGACTGGCAAAATAACAGAATAACATAATGATATACATTCTTAATTGGAAAAGAATACAGACCAGAAGAATTATATCCAGATAATATGGGAAAATTTAGATATTTAATCTACTAATTGCTTTCCCAACAGAGTACATCTCTCAGTGCAGCAAACCTTGCTTCCTCCCCACCAGTCAGCAGGAAGGACAGCGGAGTCAGAGAAAAGGGATTAAGTGATATTTTCTTGCCTTCTTGAACCGATGGCATGGGGCAGAGGAGGGAATGAAGTCCCACTCTGTAACTCCCAGTTTTCTGTCTGCTGGTTTAGGAGGAGAGATTAAACACAAATACCTTCACTGTCCACTGCCATGATTCCTCGTCATGTCAAGCACTTGCTTATCATTTGTGTGACTTAGAATCATTCAGTACATAAATTTTCTGTTAGCAAAGCCTTACCCAGTTTGTAAAAGAAGGTAGAATATTTTAAAACTTTATAGCATTCCACAGTTCCTACAACATCTGGGAGGCAACAGGAGAACTTAAATAGTCAAACTATTTCATGACAGGTGAAGAACGTCATCCTTAAGAACTGAATCCAGAAGGTACTCACAGGTTCTCCTCGAGATCCATCCTGCCCCGGAGCACCTGGAGGTCCTGCTTCTCCCTTTTAATAATAAAAAGAAACAGAGAATCCCATTTGCAGGTGTGCTCACTAAAATAGTAATATGTGACATTACAGATATGCAACATTACCAGCTTCCCCAGGGGCTCAGTTGGTAAAGAATCTGCCTGCAATGAGGGAGACCTGAGTTCAACCCCTGGGTTGGGAAGATCGTCTGGAAGAGGGCACGGCAACCCACTCCAGTACTCTGACCTGGACAGAGTACTGGCCATGGACAGAGTAGACTGGCAGGCTACAAGTCCATGGGATTGCCAAGAGTTGGACATGACTGAGCGACTAAGCATACAGCACATATATACTGAAGCACATTAGATACAAAAAATTAAAATTACCCCTGGGTTTCTTCCCTCATTTAAAAAATTTCAAGTGTAGTTAATTTACAATGCTGTGTTAGTTTCAGGTGTCCAGTAAAGTGATTCAGTCACACGTTCATGTTCAGGCATATATGTATATTTGTATATGTATGTATATATGTATGTATGAAGTGAAGTGAACTGAAGTTGCTCAGTTGTGTCCGGCTCTTTGCAACCCCATGAACTGTAGCCTATCAGGCTTCTCCATCCATGGGATTTTCCAGGCAACAGTACTGGAGTGGGTTGCCATTTCTTTCTCCAGTGGATCTTCCCGACCCAGGGGTCGAACCCAGGTCTCCCGCATTGTAGGCAGACACTTTACCATCTGAGCTACAAGGGAAGCCTATGTGTATACATACATATATATGTATACATATATATGTATATATAGTTTTCGAGGATTTTTTCCATTATAGTTTTTTTCCGTTATAGTTTATTACAAGATATTGAATATAGCTCCTTTTGCTATACAATAGGTCCTGTTGTCTGGATTATTGATGTCAACTTTTCCTGACATCAAATAACTCATTCTGAAATCCATAAGGTGACTATATAAACATCAAACCTATAAATGACAGAAGATAATTGAGTAGTTATAAGATAACGTATACTCATTCTTATGAGATACATGTATACTCATTCTTATGAGAATACATAAGATATACATGTATACTTGTATACTCATTCTTGTGAGAACAGGATGATTCTGTCTTCAAAGTAAATGTGACCTATATTTACATCAGTCCTTTCCATAGTTTTACTTTTACTTTAAATTGATCACCCTAAAAAAAAAAAAAAATTGATCACCCTGTCGGATATGTGACCTTACCTCTCAAGAGTTGCATTTTAAAATCAAAACAAAGTTTTCATTAAGAATGTAGTTACTATAGGTTATTACTTGAAATTATTCAACACTTTAATGGGTTTTAGTTTAAAATAAACATATAAAATGTGCATTTTAGGTAGCTGTTAAAATTATAATAGTTTTCAGTTATAGATCTTTAAATGATTCTGCTCAAATTATTTATGCACCTTATCTTACATCCACTTTCTGGCATGCTATGTTTTTCCCAAATGAATCCATTGCTAGCATATAAAAACATATCATGACATTATGCTTACTAAAAAAAAATAAGTATTAGCTGAATTTAATCCTAAAATGTATAATATCCACAGATCAACACGGCCATTAAACTGTCTGGACAAAAGTACAGGGCAGTTGGGAAGAGTCCCTTGAAATAGATGTTTTAGGCTTATACCTCTCAAGAGTTGCATTTTAAAATCAAAACAAAGTTTTCATTAAGAATGTAGTTACTATAGGTTATTACTTGAAATTATTCAACACTTTAATCTGGTATTAGTTTAAAATAAACATATAAAATGTGCATTTTAGGTAGCTGTTAAAATTGTAATAGTTTTCAGTTATAGATCTTTAAATTATTCTGCTCAAATTATTTATGCACCTTATCTTACATCCACTTTCTGGCACGCTATGTTTTTCCCAAATGAATCCATTGCTAGCATATAAAAACATATCATGACATTATGCTTACTAAAAAAAATAAGTATTAGCTGAATTTAATCCTAAAATGTATAATATCCACAGATCAACACGGCCATTAAACTGTCTGGACAAAAGTACAGGGCAGTTGGGAAGAGTCCCTTGAAATAGATGTTTTAGGCTTCTTAAAACCTATCGGTCATAAAGAGCCATGAGGCTGTATGTCTGCTTGGCAAAGTATTATGTCTTAACAAGCACAGTTCTCTGCAAACAATTATGCCACACGTGAATTGTACCAGAGAGTACATTTCATTCAACACGACAGCAAAAGAGAAAGTAAAACCAAAATGGAAATATTTTTCTTGTAAATAACTCACATATCTGAGTTCAGGTAAGTTTAAAAGAGGGGGGGGGGAGTCTCAGAATACATGTATTAAAGCATGTGTCAACACCATTTTCCATAGTTTCATATCAAAATGAACTCCCCAAATTGTAAAAAATGAACCACAGAGGGAAGAACCAATAACACTTGGCTAACACAATCACCCTTAGAAAAAAATCCAGCCATATCACATTATATAAACAGTGCTTACCCCACTTTTATGAATCCTTGCATTTCATTAGCACAGTGAAATACCAACTAAAGCCAAATATTTCATCTGTTCCAGTTTTATTTACAAACACTAGATGACAGTTGAGAATAGAAGGGGGCAAAAGATAATGTTTTCCTGTAAATTAACCAAACTAGTGGTCAGGGAGGTCCTACTGACCCAACATTTCCACAGAAAAGTTTATAAAAATATAAAAGAGAAATGAAAATGGATGTCAGATTCACAAAAGCTACAAGTTAAAGAGCCTGAAAAATTAGAGAAAAGAGCTCTGTCAAATTTTGACACTGGAGGATCAGTACTGCAGCTTTGGGCAGGAAAAAGCTCTCGGCAGGAAGGAGCTCTCAGCAAGATGTCCCTTTGTCTTGATGCTAACCTTAAACCAGGCACCCTGTGTTCTACTTATCTCCAGTCCTGACACACTTTTCAGATCTTTAGATCACACAATATTTTGCCTAACTTTCTGATTCTTTCTGGAGATGAAAGAAGTATAATAGAAGTGAAGAATAAGTATTTAACAGATGATCAGATACCTTCCCCAGCTTCTGGTTCAGCAACCTTCCGAACAAACTGTGGGAACCAGACAAGATCTAAAGAAACATTATGAGGAGTCAACAAGCCTGCACCCAACTGGCACGCAGTGGGGATGGCTAGCACTCTGACCCCCATCCCAGTGATTAACTGATATTACTTCCTACTTCTTTTGAAAGTTTTCATGGCTGAGCAGATTCTTCGGAGATGTTTTTGGGAGACACAAGTTCACCTTCTCCCCAGGCAGCTGGCATTCTGATTAAAGGCGACTTTCCTCTCCACCAACATTTGTCAGTATTGGTTTTGTAAAAGTTGAGCAGCAGGACCCAATTTGATCACATCAGGAGGAGCCACCCGTGTCCCTGGTTCTCAAGGATGGTCCCTACTCAAGCCAGATCAGCTTCATCTCACTTGGGAACTTCTCCAAAATGCAAAATTTCAGGCCCTGCTACAAACCCACTGAGTCAGAAATTCTGGATGGTGGGGCCCAGCAATTTATGTGAACAGCTAATTCTGATGATTTGAGAACCATGGGAAACTTGTGAGTCATTAGGTAACTTAACTTCCACCACCTCCAGGTATTATCATATGTGATTGTCATAGTGAAGCAAATCCGTAGTTTAGATCATCTGTATATAAATTAAAGGGGGCAGGAGAGCTGTCCAGCAGTTGTTGTTCAGTTGCTCAGTCACGTCCAACTCTTTGCATCCCCCCTGGACTGCAGTACGCCAGACTTCCCTGTACTTCATCATCTCCCAGAGAAGCTGAAACTCCAATACTTTGGCCACCTGATAGGAAGAGCAACTCAATGGAAAAGACCCTGATGCAGGGAAAAATTGAAGGCAGGAGGAGAAGGGAACAACAGAGAATGAGATGGTTGGATGGCATCACCGACTCAATGGACATGAGTCTGAGCAAACTCTGGGAGATGGTGAAGGACAGGGAAGCCTGGTGTCGCAAAGAGTCAGAGATAACTGAGTGAACAACAAAAACAACGTATTCACTGAGTTGGTGATGCCATCCAACCATCTCATCCTCCGTCATCCCCTCTCCTCCTGACTTCAGTATTTCCCAGCATCAGGGTCTTTTCCAAAGAGTAGGCTTTTTCCATTAGGTGGCCAAAGTATTGGAGCTTCAGCTTCAGCATCAGTCCTTCTAATGAATATTCAGGTTTGATTTCCTTTAGAATTAACTGGTTGGAGCTCCTTGCAGTCCAAGAGACACTCAAGAGTCTTCTTCAGCACCACAGTTCAAAACCATGAATTCCTCACTGCTCAGCCATCTTTACGGTCCAACTCCTGCATCCTTACATTACTGATGGAAAAACCATAGATTTGACTAGATGGACCTCTGTTGGCAAAGTAATATCTCTGCTTTTTAGCACTTTTCTTCCAAGGAGCAAGCATCTTTTAATTTCCTGGCTGCAGTTACCATCTGCAGTGACTCTGGAGCCCAAAAAAACAAAATCTGTCACTGTTTCCACTTTTTCGCCATCTATTTGCCATGAAGTGATGGAATCAGATGCCATGATCTTAGTTTTTTGAATGCTGAGTTTTAAGACAGCTTTTCACTCTCCTCTTTCACCTTCCTTAAGAGGCTCTTTTGTTCTTCTTCGTCTTCTGCCATAACAGTGGTGTCATCTGCATATCTGAGGTTATTGATATTTCTCCCAGTGATCTTGATTCCAGCTTATGATTCATCCAGCCTAGCATTTTGCATGATGTACTCTGCAAATAAGTTAAATAAGCAGGGTGACAATATATAGCCTTGAGGTACTCCTTTCCCAATTTTGAACCAGTCCATTGTTTCATGTCGGGTTCTAATTGTTGCTTCTTATCTTGCATACAGGTTTGTCCAACAGTGGGAACAACTAATTTGGTATTACGTGACCACTTTGGTTGGTAAAGACCTTCCCTTTTATTACTTTGATCATTAACTCTATCTTAATATGTTACTCTGATTAAGAGGTATTTAAAAAAAAAGTCACCA